TCTTGGGATTTAAGAATCGATATCGTTCCGTAAAAATGAGAATAGATTAAAATCGAGATATCGATATTTTTTTTTTTACCCAGCCCTAGTAAATAAGCAATACACTGTGCATATTTATATAGTAAGAAAAAAAACCCTCATAAAGGTTAAAACACACCCTTTTTAAAATCCATTCCTGGGGGCACATTTTGTCCATTAATACACTTAGTCTCTTGACACTGATAGTTGATTCTCTCTCAGGTTCAGTATAAAAATGTAAGTGGTTTTCTTATATCTATAGTATTCAATGTATTTTATATTAACGAAACTATCTGTGCATCCTTGCAGAGGTGAACAAAGAGGAGATCAAACCTAAACGTGCAAAAAGTGGTGGAGTCATTTAATTTGGTAAAATGCCACAAGTGAATCTTTCTCCTATGTGATTGTTGTATTAACTTTCACTCTGCTGTGTTTCAGGCCAGAAAAAAGCCTCCACGGCAAAGAATGGGAAGAAAGCCAGGAAAGCAGAGTTGTCCTCTGATGAAGGGTTGGTTTATTCTGCTTCTTAACTAATCATTTTAATTTCAAATGTACATTTTTCATTTAGTAGGTTGCTTATCTTTTTGTGGTCCATCTAATCTTTCTATAGTGATGAAGAGAATGTTCCCGAAGCACCTCCATCAGTGCGACCAAGTCGTCGTGCCAAGATTGCTGCTTTGGATAAACTGACTGCCCTTATCAACCAGGAGGCCAATGGTTCATAAGAGTGGATTACTTAAGAAGGTCCACTTTTGCCCCATTACATCCTACAGCTTCTTTAGATTTACCTAAGAAATTATATACTGCTAAATTTCAATACAAAGAGACTAGAGTAACTGTTTAGTCTGACTATTTACAGTTTCAACCTGGAATAAGGTCTTGTCAAAATGAATGTCATACTTAAGAGGTTATCTTTGGGTAGGAGTCATGTTAACATTAATTTACTTGCTCAAGGCTGTTCTAAAAAAAGTGTAAGAGCTACTGAGCCAAACTATTCCCTTTTTATAATTGGTATTTTAAGGAAACTGATCCTACTATAAACAGTTGGTGTATGTTAATAATGGCTAATATTTGAAAGTAAAAAAACGCTTTCATTGTATACATTTTTTAGTCTGAATAAAAATGTTTAAACCTATAACACAATTACTCAAAATGTTTGCAAGAGCTTTTATTGTTCTAACAATTGAGACGGCTTCTTTGAAGGCAAGTATAAAAACAGAGAAAATACAATGCGTGTACATAATTTGCATGTTTATGTACAACATATAGCACCAGGTAACAAGTTTACAGTGGCCAAAACTTCAAAATGGCAGATCTGAACATGAGACAATATACAGAAGGCCTTCTGACAATTTTCATAAGCTTCAACTCCAGCATATGGTTGGAATAGGTATAAAGATAATGCACCATTTTTGTCTGTACTTTTGACAGTTTTTGGATTACTCCAGCAGGTTGAATGGTTATTGAGGCCCTAAAGCAGTTGATGGAAGCCTCTTTATGTTGGCACAGAGTATGTATATGATGTAAATAATTTCAGCAGTTTCTCAAGCGCCTCTAGCTGACAGACATCCAAACAATGGTTTAAATCTAATAGAATAAACTAGGTGACAAACGAACATTTTATGCATCTAATTACATCTAAGGTGGACTAAGTGTAGCACTGACTAAACTTGTACACCAGTTTTGTTACAGGGAACCTAAATGAACTAAGTGGACATCAACGCCATAATAGGGAAATTTGAACCTTCTACATACTCAGGGGCAGGGCCACAGATTGGTAACAAGTAACAGCAGACGGAAACTAGAGCTAACACCACAGTATTTAAATAACTAACTAAACAAACATACAGGCTGTATAACCAGTTAGAATGTTTTTGGTAGCGGTCTAAATGAATGACATGGTTACAACAAAGGGTTTATCAGTTTAGACCAATCTACCATTCCTTACCAGTAGATTTCAGGAGGCAGGTGTCACATACTGCAATAGATCACAAATTAAGATTTGCACAACATAAGTTTTTGTATTTAAGAAACAATGTGGAACATTTGCCTCTGGATCATCTTAAAAGCTTTTAATTTAAAAGAAAGGAAAATAGAATCTTACATCTTTCTGAGAGCAAAACATTGCACCAAAAACACTGTACATTATAACAATGGTTTTAGTCAGGAATAAAACGGAACAGGTAGCAGTTTGGTAGTGCAACAAGAACATGAACCTGGATGTAAATTAATGCTTAAATGATTTTCCACAACTTGGCAAATAAATTCACAGGAGGTTTCCATAAATACAGGATAAGAGGAGATATATACGGAGACATTACCACCATTTTCAAATTCCATAATGCATTGTAATTATTTTAAGTGGGCAGTTTGTGTCTGACACATTAACGGCACATATAAGAAAAGACAAATATATTCCCAACTTAAAAAGTTCAGCAATGTTTAAAAACTGAAATATTCACAAAAATCCCATGTAAAGATCTCTTACAACAAAATATATATAAAAAAAATAAAATAAAAAAAAAAGTTAAATGAACTTGTCTTCTCCAGAATAATATAAAAGTTTGCCTAAATGTTAAACTCTGCTATGAGATTTGGGCAAACCAAACAACATAATGCTCTTGTAATCTTTGATTCTCCTTCATGTAACTAGATCTTCTCATGGTCTGCATCAAAATTAAAATTCAAAGTAGACTTTAAAAGGTAAATAAAACATTTTACAAACATCAAACAAAATAAGTTTAAATAGTGCAACAAGTGTCTTAAAGTTGTTTTTTGCTACATGACGCTTGCAGAGGTTGCTTGTGATACTCAGCCAGACCACTGTTGAAAGGCACCTTATGATAGAGTTCAAGAAAATGTCTTCCCCAAAAACTGGTCCCAAGTTATTTCAATGACCCTGAAAAGCACAAATTGAAGACATTTAGATTTGAGTTCTCAAAGAAAATAGTGTATATACAGAACGTGCGGTTATTAAACCCTTATCTGATTAAAAAACAATAAGTATACTTTTGAAAGCAGACCATAATGGTACCACACTACCAGAATCAATACAAAGTAAACACTGCAAAGACAAAAAATCGAACTTTTCAATCTAATATCAAAGCATTCTTTACAGAAGCCAGAAACATACTTTATCCCAGTATGCAGATAGGAGTGCTTGGTCAACACAACAGTCAGGTTGAACTTATTTGACATGGGCTGTTGCACTGGTCTGGCAGGAACAAACCTCAGTACTACTTTCAGAGTGAGTTACATTCAAATATCTCTAGACGTTAAACTGGATGGGCTATTATTCAGTTAAGTATAACTTAGAAAAAAATCTCTTTAAACTTGCTCTGCCAACGAAAGAGCTAAGAATCCTCAAATGCAAACTGTTTTGCTTCAAGAGAGCAACAATATATTTGTCTCGTTTTACTTTTTTATATTTGTCTATTCTCCATTTATTCATTAATTTATAATAATTTATAATAATAATTTTAACCATTTATATACTATTTTCGATTAGTATATTTGATTCATTAATTGATTAGTCATAAATTATTCTTTTTATATAGTTTTTCCGTTGTTCAGTCTTATGATTGTGAGGTTTCAAGGGATATTTGTCCTCGTGTACTAGATAAGAGAACGTATTCATGGTTTTTAATGTCACGGGACGATGTTGTGAAGCCATAATTTTCCATTGCTATTGCTTGTGGTGTAATAACACTTGTTGGATTTGTATTTTTCAGACGAAGTCTGAGCATAGAAACATACGCAACTAAGACTATTCAATAAACTCTGCTCCTTTTATATCATCACTTCATCTCCTGCTTCTGCTCTTCGCTGGCTTTACTCAGTCAACTTCTTGGCTTATAGAAGAGTGTTAATACAGTTTTGAGTACCAGACAGGACTCGTTAACAGATTTTGGGTATTAGACAATTTTGGTGACTAGTTGTTCTGTTACCAGACAAAACATTTTCTGACAGGATCTGGTGTCTGGTGCTGGATCAGATATTTCTGGCGTGGAGGCATGATCTAACACTATGATGCTCAAAACCGATCTTTTGTACCTAGGAATTTGCACTTGCGAACTTGCATAGAGTATGTTTCAGGCATAACGAAATAATGGTAAAAGATGACTTACCGAGCACAAAGTCACACCACCTTGCTCCTAGAACACCCCTGCTGCTCCTTGGTTGTCTGAGCATTTTTGTTGGGGGAGATGGACTTGTGCTCCAACTTTTCCGTTTGCCTCTTTTTCTTCCTCCCTTGCTCTGGCTTTTTGGGGATGAGTGCAGCTGTATTGGAAAGTTAACTGTACTGGGAGGTGTCCCTCCCACCAAAACATCCTCATTCTCCTCTTGATGCGAGACATCATAAAGCTTTACTGTGCAAATGTTACATTCCTCTGTCGCTGACTTTGTGTTTGGGGAGTTGATCTTTTTCAGAAACACCCTGCACTGCTTTAGGGACTCTGGACTCCAAGCTTTGGAGCTGATTCTGTTCTGCTTTGAAATATTGGCAATCCCATTCATTTTCTGAGGAGTTTTGACTAGAAGCTTTAATGCATTTTGAACTTTCGTGACTGGTCTGGATGTCTTACCTACCAGGTTAGGCATTTCTTTCCATAATTCTAGAGTCTCAGCACCTGAAGTCCTTGTCCTCATCTGGTCACGAAACACTTTGTGTGCCATATCACCTCCTAATGTTATCCTAGGCCTGGTCTTAAACTTTAGCCTCGCTCTAAGCAGAGCTGTTCTATAGACAACCCATGTGCTTCTAGACCTAGACATTCTATGCCTAACGTCATGCCTCTGTTTAAATGATGTATTAAAAAGCTTTCTCTTGGCTTGTGACCTTGTTGACTTGGACAGCATTTCTTGTGCTTGCTTGTGCATTGACGGACTCTTTGGGACAACTTTAGCAAATTTCTTGACATGTTTCCTGAGTCTCTCTGCTTGTGGACTTGGGCAAACTTTGCCTTTGCAATTGGGTCTGCTGAGGTTGTAGTGAAAGACATCCTTGGGATTTCTTGCAGTGGTCTTCTTTACAATAGCAAGGGACTGAGTTTCTGTGGACTGCATAAACCAAGTACAGAGCTTCTCCATATTATAGTTTCTTTCAAAAAGCATTTTGATGGCAGAAGCAGACTTCTTAGCAGAACCTCTAAACTTCTCATAAGTTTTTGGTTTAAGATCTGATTTAAGCTCTCCTGACTTGTTAGCCTTGAGGACATCTGATACCCAAGTGTTGGACATAAGCCTGATCCTCCTAGCTAACTCTTCATTTAAAGTTTCAGGTGATGCTAAGGTGGGCCACCACCTGAAGCCCTCGTTTGATGAAAAAATGGAGTCCATCGAAATGGTAGAAAAACGAACATCTTGTATGCAACTGACATTCTTGGTCCTCGTGGAAAGTGCATTTTTTGGGAACTCTTCTTGCTCTTGTCTTTTCTTTGTATTCTGGCTGGACTCACAGCTAACCTTATTAAGCAGTAGTTTTCGTGACCTGCGAACCAATGCGCAGGATCTGGCAGTAGCGACAGAGTGGAGCAAATGAACGGAGGGTTTCCGTTCTCTAACAGAATGCCTCACTGGTATGAGCTGCCCTCTGGTATTCTGACTATGTTCTTTTGGTGCATCCACTATATCCTTGTGAATGTCAGTAGGATTGCAGATTGTCTTCTGCTCTTTGGAAGGTTGAATTTCAATGAGAAGAGACTTTCTGAGCAGATGTGAATCTTTTGTGCCCCTTTTTATATGTATCTTTCGTTGCCTTGGTGACCCTGTGGTGACAGTGACAGAGATCCCAGAAATTTTGACTTTGGGAGGTCTTCCTGGTTTTCTTGACACTGCTGTGTCACTCTGTCTTTGACATTTGATGTTGCTGCTCGAAGAGACACATTTCCTGTCTTCAATAGGCATAACAAAATGGTGATCTTTAAGCAGTTCCTTGGTCATTTGATCATTACTACTAGTCTTTCCAGAACATGTTTCACTGTACGTGCCACCATTTAATAGTTCAAAAACATGTTGATGTTCTGGGATATTGCTCAAATCTTCAGAAACTACTCTTTTTGCCCTTCTTGATCTTCCATTCACTATGGTGATTTTTAGATTTTTGTTTCCATCATCCTTAGAAGACATTTCTGTTGTCTTATGATTTACTGCACTGGAACCGGTTGTACCAGTTGAAGTTATTTTGGGTTTTGGAGGTCTGCCGATGGGACGTTTCACAGACTTCACAATATGTGGTCCTATTTTTTTGGGGCGCCCAGGACGCCTTTTTACTGGAGATGTTTGATGTACAATTGGTAGTGTTTCTTGGATTTCATCTTCATTGTTTGAACAACTGGGCAATAATGCATCAAGTGAAACCACTTTTGATGAAGTGCACTTGTTCCCACCATGTTCAACAGTTCTCCCTGGAGCTAATTCAAGGACTGAATCCTGGAAATGTTCATCGATGGCACTACCTGCCCATGAGGATTCCACGCATGGATCAAACATCTCTCCATGGGAATTTGAGCCTGAGGCAGCTGCTTTGAGAGTATATTTTATACCGTCTTCACCTGTCACAGAGGAAACAAACATGAGCTTTATTGGACTATCATATTTCAGTCCAGACAGGCTAGCTTTAGCTTCTTGTCCACTCTCAGTGGTAGTAAAGTCAGACATAGTTTCAGTAGGACTGTGTGAGTCAGTGTTTAGACTGTTGGTCTTATGGCGTTTAGATCTTTTTGATGGTGAAGTAGAATTCTGGCATGGTTTCCTTTTTCTTGCACTCTCTTTATCAGGATTCCTTCCATTATCCTTGTGCTCACACGGTGGCTCTTTTTTGGATGAAATCGCATCTTTTGATGAAGTTATGTTCTGTGGCACATCACGGTCTTCTCGTTTATCCTCAGTTTGAAAAGGCTGTTTGTCACATATATCACTTGGCCAGGCAATTTCTTCTGTAGAGCCAAGTGCTGTTGAGGTACTGTCCTTAGGGGGATTCTTGGTGAATATACTTTCTGAAAAACAGGCTGCAAAATACATTTTCCGTGGCTCAGTAACATAGGAAGAGAAACGCTGAGGTGGTACAATATTTCGTCTGGTTCTTCCAACTTGAACAGTCAGATTTTTCTCTTCATGAGTTTTTGCTTTTACCTTCCGGTCACTATCAGTTGTTTGCAATTGTGCCCTTTCATCAAGAGGCAGTGGTTCTTCAAGACATACATGTTGGGGTTGAGTTTCTTGGCTCTTTTGTTTATTCGGTGTCTCCTTAGTTTGTGCATATGTGGTCAAATTTTCTAAGGTATCTTTTACAGGCTTTGAGTCCACTGTCCTAGGTATTCTGTCCAACTTTCTACAATCAGATTGTTCAACAAGAGAGCATGTTAGCTGTGCAGCTTTAACAGTTTTTAAGGACCTATCTCTCTCAAACCCTATATTCCTCTTAAAATATGATGGACTAAGTCTGGCCAGATCTCTTTTGATTTGTAAGCTTTGTCTTCTTGATGATGGAAGATCAGGTGACTTGCTCATGGCAACTAACGTTTCCAGTCTCTTACGTGAACGTGTCTGAGGGGATCGCTGTTCGGTGGCTACATGCTGTCGTAAAAGCTCATTAAGGTTGTAATCTTTGTCACTACTGTTGTGTAGCACAGTTGTTATAATCTCTGTCAAATGTGTGTCATCTGTCTTGGAGATTTGACTGGCATGGGTAAGATGATTTTGTTCCTTCTCTGAAGGTTGGATACTTCTGAGCTTTTCAGTGACTCTATCCATTAGATCTCCTATAAAAGACCCACACTGGTGATCATTCTCCTTCTCTGCTTGTGTATGCAACAGTACAACCTTTTCACAACATTCATCAGGAGATCCCACACGAAGAGAAGCGTTAGAGTACAAAGCTGTATCTTCATCCTCGGTTCTGTGAGGTAAGAGAGAAGGAGGTGCCATGTTTAATGACTTGCAGTCCTGAATTTGTAAGATACTGGACTTGACAGCCATTTTACAGTCCAGGTCCACTGGCTTTGGTGATAGTGGTGGTGGGGAGGGGCTACGGCTTCCTTTGCATCTATTGTGAGAGTTACAATCACCCTGATGGGTGATTAGAGTTTCTCTTACATGAGAAATGTAGGTATGATCACCATTGTGATGAAGCTGGCATGAGGGTAGTTTTGAGTGAGTACAACAAACAGTGGGATTAGAACAGATATCTTGGCCAACACATGCCATAGATGTATTTTGGCAGGAATTGCCATGAATGTTCCTCAGACAGACGCATAGAGGAGAAAATGCATTTGTTGGAAGCCTACAAGCTTTTCTGCAACAAATGCCAGCAGTTACTGAGCAGTCACTTAATGAAAGTATTGGGGCCTCATTAAGTGATTTTTTATCAGCATGGCAACAGAGAGATCCAGCCTTAAACTGTCTTCTGTGAGCATCCCGCAGTGTTACAGAGATGTTATAATCTTCCTGCATGTCCTTTAAAAAATGATAGAGTAGCAGTCTATGATGGGAACAAAGCGAAGACAGGACCTTCTCCAACACAGTGACTCTCCAGACCACTGGAGCTTTAGAACCACCTTCCTTCTCCAGTCTGGACCAGTCTTCCACACGTGGCCCTAAGGAACTACATAAATAAATTGTGTTAAGTCATTACTCAATCACTGACATAATTAGCTTTTCATGAATGTGAGCTGAGCTTCACCTCTCAGCTCTTTTTATTTTTTACTCTGTTGTAATGTGCAATACATTTGAATTGGATTAAACAATTAACGAAATCCTACCAAAAAGACATATTCCAGAATTATAAAGTTTGCATAGCTATATTTAAAAGAGCACTCCTCATTTTGTTAAAGGCACCACATGGCATTGAATTGCATGTTATGGTCATATATATGCAGAATTAAAAATGTGTAAATGCCACAGATAAAGTAATATTCCACCTTGGTCAAGTTTATGCATGTATTAGAAATTTACAACAAAGTACAAACAACTCTGTACATGGAACAATTTTTTATTGGTAACTTGAAGGCAAAGGATGGCGATTGTAGCAACGCTTACACAGGAAAACTATACAGAATATTTAATTATTTTAATCAAACCTGAATAATTTTGTTTCCTGATGAATCAATGTGTCTCTTGATAAAGCAGTTACAAACCAACAACATTTGCAGGCAATATGTCATCTATTTTGAAATTAAAATAAAACTACCCCAAGGGGTAACAGATTTGTTAAGGGATGGAGGGAAACGTTAGAGAATAATAAAAAAAAAAAAGTATATACTGTAAATTGCACAGTTTTAAATGTAGGATATTAAAACACACGAGTAATATGCCTTCAGTATTTCCATCTTATTACAATTAATTTAATTCTTGCTTTGATTAACCTTACCCTAATCCTGAAATGTTACAAATGAGACCACACCAAATATATTTCAGACACAAATGCATGCTTAAATGACCAATTAGCTTTTAGTTTTCCCCCATTTCAAGTTGATCAAAACGTCATAAAGATTAAATATATATCAATCTGCCTGGGATTACAAAAAAAAGAAAAAAAAGTCACATGTTGAGAAACATTACAGGACATGAAACTCACGTATGCATGCAAATGCAGTAAAGCATTTCACATATCAATGTGCAAGAGCAACAAAGTGCTTCAACACAAAACTAACACAACATTTAAACTTTATATTCTGATTACATCGAAAGAAATAACAACACATATACAATTAGATATTAGAATTAGAGGGAATAATACAAAATCAATCATAGTGCAACAAATAGGCATAAATAACTGATTGCAAAATGATTCATATCCTGCACCCGTTATGAATATGAAATTACACATACTTGGAAAGGCCTAAATTGGTGATATTGATCTATTTAATGATCCATCTATACATCAAGCCAAACTGTTTTGAGAGGGAAAAGAGTTAAACCCAATTTAAATAATGTTATATGCCTGTAACCACTCCTGAACAAACTGTCCCCATAATATGGGAGAAAACAAATTGGCTTTGAATGAACCATATTTGGCTCTATAAAAGAATCCTAAGGGCCCTTATTTTTATATAAAAGAACAGTTCTAACACGATCATGCACTATGTTTCAATAGGACTGTTGTTACCCTGAGAATACTAATGTTTTTGGACTGAAATTATACATGACACAATATTAAGTATAATTAGAACACAAAAGAGAAATAACAGAGATCTGCATTCCCCAAAGGAAACCTAACAGTATCCTATAAAATGAAAATGAGAGCACAGCACTGACAATATACATGTATATGATTTAAAAAATCTGCATGGCATTAACTTACACGACCACCCTTTACATTAAAAGTGAAAATGTGCCTGTGACACATCTATCCCCGAGAAAAAACTGAAAAATTTAAGTTACATTGGTAATTGTGGTAACAGTATATAAATCCATAATACAGATTATATACGATCCACAGTAGTATATAAATACTACTTTTTTTTTCTTTTTCTCCAAAGATTTATGTAAAACTGCTACTGGCCTACAAAATAACTGAGCAGTAGCTGTAAGAGCAGGCACTGAGTTGTTATTTTAAGAGCTTTGACGAACATTCAGGGTGTTTTGATAAATGCTTTAAATTAATTAAGAATATATCAGTAAATCTGTTCTCTCTTTTTAAGGAAGAAGGGGAATTTAACTTTAAAGAACAACAAGAGGTAAACCATTTACAGAACATTCCCAACACAAAGATAAACACATTTAACATTGCATATCGAAATGTTAATATTTCCAAAGCTTCAATCACAAAATTTACGTTTCAGCTACACTTTGCAAAGCACTGCAATTATACTTGTGAATCAGATAACTGAAAAAAGATGCCATTCAAAGTCAGTGTATGGCAATATTTTTCATAGCAAGTACGAAACAAGAACCTGTATCACAAGTATGTGTGCAACTTTTGTAAAGTGCAACTCAATATTATATTCCAACTATACAAGCTTCTAAATACAGTAAAAAAAAAAACGTCCATGCTATAAATATGGATTGAGGAGTTGAATTACCAGTATTATGAAATGAAACAGTTGTATAATAGGCCATTAAAAGTTATAGTAATCAGTAGCATGAACAAAACAACAACCAAGAGCAGCAAAACTATAGAAACCTGGACATAAAAACAAAGCAATTCAGAGCAGCACTTGAATCAGGTTTTGCATTTCAGTCCCATGGTAAGTGCATCATGAAATATGGACAAGGAGAAATTCTGATCCATGTGTTCAGCAGCACTCTACTCTGAACTGCTTCATTCATGGAGTGTGTAAGTGGAGAGGCAAAATGACCCTGAACTGATTTGGTTTCAGCAGACAGATAATGCAAGGATGCATTTAGTTTGAGGAACAACACAACATTATAAAGAAGAAATTCAAATCTGAAAAAGGAATACTGAGTGAGGATTTCAGTAGTTCTAATTACTGAAAAAGTATTCTATCTATTGTTCAGTGTAAAAGAAACATTCACTGATACTGCCATCAAGCGTTTTTTTCCTGTGCAGCATTACATTGCATTTCCAACTTACCCCAAATGATTTGCTGAGCAGATTTGCAGGGGTGAAATTAAAAAGGGCAAGACATAAAAAAATAAAGCAATGTTGTGTGTGTGTGTGAGTGGAATAATAAGTATTTGAACTTACCAAAAACAAATAAATAAAAAAATTAAATCACTATCATTGCAGAATGTGGGAAGTCTCATCCACAAAAAGCCTGAGATGGTCCAAGCTTTCACTCCAATGATCTGGCAACAGTCCTGATTAATGTACTTCATTAATACTTCATGAAACTAGGGATGCACCGATACCGAGCTCCTGTACTCGTTAAAATGCCCCGATACCAAACGCCAATACCACACAGCATGTGATAAGTGCCATATTCAGACAAAGAAACACCAACAACAGACAGCAGATTGGAGTTATTGGAGATTAAGGATGTCTTCGAAGTATATGTATGCAATGAATATAATGCTAAACATTCAGCATTAACGCCTGTATAGCTGATGTGTGCGAGCTGATGAGCAAATCACGCTGAGTGGATTGAGCGCGCGGCGCCGCAGATGCGCGAGCTTGTCGAGTGAATATACCCTTTCCTACAGACATCACTGGAAAGTTTGTAGTTCGGTTGATTGTAATCCATTACATACCTTTCTATCAAAATTATCTAACATTATCAAGATGAATTTGTTCTGACACCGTTTAACTCTGAGTTCTTGTTATATTTTATTACCATTTTCTAAACTATAGCAAATAAACTGTGATAATGTGAGAAATGTTGAAGGTGTCTGAATAAATTTTGGTTTGACTGTATCTATTTGATAAATGAAGTTAACCAACTAACATTATACATACTCTTTTGGTTTCTGTGCCCAATATTTAAAAAATTTACAAATGCAATAAAAATATTGGTGTCAGTACTCGGTATCGGCAAGTACCAAAAATAAAAGTATCGGTATCGGGCAAGTACTTGAAAAAGTGGTATCGGTGCATCCCTACATGAAACTGATATAATTATCTATGTTATACAATAAAACTTGCAAATAAAAATAGTAGTCCAAAAAGTGCTATTTACATAATAGTGTTGTTCCTTTGCTGGAGTGGAAACTTGTACCTATATCTACCCATTGCATATAAGGATGGACATCTCCCACTGTTGAGTTAAAAGAGATGTTACAGTCATGCTGTCACCAGGCTGTCACACAGACACCATAAAAAATACTGTTGATAGACTTCAAATGAAATGACCAGTCACTACAAAGACTAATTAGAGTGAAAGGAAGCTGCATACAACAATCGTTAAGCTGAGATTAGCTTATGTATGAACAAAACCTGAATATTATATTTCTTAGTTTTAAAAGAGTAATTAACTTAAAAATCAACAGTGCTTTACAATATGTTAAATATATTCATATAGATATCCACAGTGAAACCCCTGAATAGATTTTTTTTAAAGGCATGTTTTGTAACTTGATAAAATGTACCATTTAACCTGTGGTTGAGGATTCAAGTGTATCTTCCAAGTCTGAATGAGGTCCTGACTGCATGCTTAAAAAAAAAAAAAAAAAAATCCTTGTTGGCTGTAGTTTAGGTGATGTTTAGTTAAAACCGCCTCTAGGAAATAGTTGAGGTTTTGGTTTTGAGTTAAGACTGTTTGTAGGCAGTAGATGAGGCATTGGTTGTTGTCCCTGACTTTCCTGAGCCTGAGGTTGCTGCTTCAGCAAGGCGAAGCTTCTTTTTTGGTGGGGTCTTGAGCGTGCCCGTTCGCTCTTTGACTTTGTACTCTATGGTGCTGTGTGGCACACCATAGATGCCCTGAGCTTTCGACACGCTCATCTTCCCACTAATCACCATGGCTATGGCCTCCTCCAGGATATCGTGGTCATATTGCCGATAACGGCCCCGCTTTTTCCGTGGATGCTTGTCTCGATGGTCATCATCTCCAATGTCAACCACACTTCCAGTGACGCTTCCGCCAACGCTCCTGTTCTTCATGTTCAGACCCAGTGGAGGCATGTCACCCTGGAGTAGACGTGACTCGAGGCCTGAGTGACTTTCGATCAAGCCCTGTTTAGGGAGAATGGTCTTCAGCTTGTGGAAAGCAGTGGAGCCATCAGAGGCTT